GAATTCCAGACCAACCTGGTCCCGTACCCCCGCATCCACTTCCCCCTGGCCACCTACGCCCCAGTCATCTCAGCCGAGAAGGCCTATCATGAGCAGCTGTCTGTGGCTGAGATCACCAATGCCTGCTTTGAGCCGGCCAACCAGATGGTCAAGTGTGATCCTCGCCACGGCAAGTACATGGCCTGCTGCATGTTGTACAGGGGGGACGTGGTCCCAAAAGACGTCAACGCAGCCATCGCCACCATTAAGACCAAGCGCACCATCCAGTTTGTGGATTGGTGCCCGACTGGATTTAAGGTAAGACTGGGTGATTTGGAGTGGGTCTACCTGTTAGCAAGCAGCAGACCCTGCAATAGAACACTGCCCTTTGCAGAGAATTCTCCTGTTCCCTGGCAGCTCTGCTCTTGGTCAGAAATTAGGGAACCAGAGTGATCACTTATTCAGTGGCATCTTTTGAACTTCCTTCCTGAGTCATCACACTATAGATCTGTGGTGACAGCTTGTTTTTTAACAATACAAAATTTTTTGAAGGATTTTTGTTCCCTTTTCTGGGTGATAGAATTAGTGTGGGAAAAGTGGGTTGGACTGAGAGATGTAGGCATATTCAGGGCATTTTGGTAATTATGTGGATATTTGAAATCGGGGAATTACTACAAACTGATTGCTGTCACTAAATCTTACTTCATTCCATAGTATGTAGAAAGTAAATCCGATTTAAATGTCCTGTGCAATATTGGATTTAAAGAAAAACTATCATGAATCTTTTTGTGAAAAAAATGGCATCATCTTTATTTCTCTCTTGGTACACCTAGAAATTCTGGCCTGAGTTTGCCTCAGACCACAGTGTGTCCCTACCTTCCATTGGATAAGGGACAGAAACCTTGCTGTCACTCTCCAGCTTTGTCCAGTCCTCGGCCACTGAACCCTATGGATTCTTTCCCTCGGGACTGTGCTTCCCTGAGCCTTTTCAGGCCTCCTCTGCTAGCTCTGACCCTCACTGCTCCTGCTGGGCCTGCTGTGGTGGTTCTGAACTAGGCCTTCCTCCTCTGGTCCTCCTCCTCTAGCTGGGGGGTCAGCATGGTGGGTGGACCAGCCGCCTGGTTCTGTAATAAGTTGTGTGTGAACACAGCCGCACCTGCTCATTGGCGTGTTGTCGTGGCTGCTTTTGCTGCAAAGACAGAACTGAGGAGCTGTAACAGACTGCGTGGCTCACCCAGCCTAGACTATGCAGTGTCTGGCCCTTTACAGACAAGGTTTACTGACCCGGGCTCCAGCTGACCCTGCATGCTGCTGCCAAAACCTTTGGTCACGTTGTCCCTTGGATCTGAAACTTGGAATGCCCCCACTTTGGTCCCAGCCCTAGAACGTCACCCTCCTTCCTCCTACTTAACACATACACAGACCACCTCCTGGTGCAGTGGTGGCAGCAGTCCCAGGACCTCTGACGGTGTGCCTGTCACCCTGCTCGGCACAGGCTGGCTCATTTGGTGGGAAAGCAGGGGGTATGACCTTCCCTCGTGATACAGCCACAGTTGTGTCCTCTGAATCTGTCTGGGTGGAAAAGGTTTCAGCCACAGAAATTAATCCCCATCTTGTTGAAGCCTATGGAGAAAATAACATTCAAAGAATCCAAAGCGGGCCGGCCCCGTGGCTTGACGGTTAAGTGCGTGCGCTTGGCTGCCGGCGGCCCGGGTTCGGATCCCGGGTGTGAACCAACGCACCGCTCCTCCGGCCATGCTGAGGCCGCGTCCCACGTACAGCAACTAGAAGGATGTGCAGCTATGACAGACAACTATCTACTGGGGCTTTGGGGGAAAAT